CTACAGCGCTGACCTGTTTTCTCACCCTCGCTACATGAACGGCGCTGGCTCCAACCCCGACGCCCACGTGTTCGCGTACGCCTGCGCCCAGGTCAAGCGCAGCATGGACGCCGCCAAGCGCTTGAACGCCGAGAACTTCGTGTTCTTCAACCCCCGCGACGGCTACCAGAGCGTCCTGCAACGTCAGTTCTTCCGCGACATGTCCCACATGGCGCAGCTGTACCGCATGGCGGCGCAGTACAGGGAGAAGATCGGCTTCAAGGGCCAGCTGTTGATCCAGCCTAAGCCAGCCGACCCTCGCCGTCACCAGTACGAGTCCGACGCCATGTCCACCATGCACATGCTGCGCCACTTCGGCCTCGACAAGCACTACAAGCTGTACATCAAGCCCGCCTTCTCTCGCCTCACCAGCCGCCCCTACGAGCACGACGTCTACATGGCCGCCGCTTACAACATGCTCGGCTGCCTCGACGCCTCCGACAGCTGGCCAGAGTTCAACGCGACGTCAGACATCTGCGCACAGGACATGCGGGACGCGACGCTCGTCATGAAGTGCGTGCTCGAGCAGGTGAGGCTTCGGAGGCCTCTTTGTGCCCTCTGGGGAGCGAATTCCACGGCAATCTAGCCATAGTCCTGCTCCCGATTCTTGTGATCTCAGTGTAGCTTTCTGCGGCAGAATGTGCAGTACGAGAGTTTCCCAGAAATGATCAAATGCTTTTCGTTTGGCAGGGCGGCCTGCAGCAGGGCGGCTTCACCCTGGGCGGCCGCGTCCGCCGCGAGTCCACCGAGCCCAAAGACCTGTTCCACGGGCACATCATGGCCATGGACACCTTCGCCCGCGCCCTCAGGAACGCCGCTCGCATGATCTCCGACGGATCTTTCAGCAAAAGCGTCCAGCAGGTGAGTTCCATATATAATATAAAGCATCCTTCCATGGTGCCTTTACCGCAGCATCCGCGTCACTCCGCGCGCGTCTAACCCTTTCGTTCTTACAGCGATATGCTTCCTACAAGTCCGGCCTCGGCGAGCGCGTCGAGAAGGGCAGCATCACCTTTGACGAGTGCGAGGACTACGTCCGCAAGTCAGGCGAGCCTCAGCCTCAGTCCAGCCGCTACGAGCACTACCAGAACATGCTCAATTATTACGTGTACCCACCGCGCCAGTGACTCACCCACCGAATCCAAGCACCTCGAGGAAACAGGGCGTGCCGGAGGTGACGTCATCCTTATATCCTTGTAACTCATCAACCTTTTGGCAATAAACATGAAAATGAAGATCCGTCTGATTAATTGATTAAGTGCCGCCATGTTAAACGCTTCGGTAATGTCCAAAGAAAAAACAACATATATCTTTATAATCACACACACTGCCCGCATACACACGAACGCGCGAGAATGACATAAATGGTATTTATGAAATTTATAATTACCATGAGCAACAGTATTAGTAACAGCAACAGCAATAACAACAATAAAGATAAAACTACTAATAGGAATGATGAAAACGACCAAGAGAATAATAATAATCATAATGAAACCAATGCTGATAATTAGTTATTAATCTAATAACAATATTTTAATAATAAAGAAATTATAATGATAATAATCAGAGATGATGATTCAGAAAAAAATAAAAATAAAAATACTAATGAAAGTAATGCCGTTAAAATTAATTAAACGATGGTGAAATAACAAAGATAATTATAACAGAGATAACGTTTATAATGGTAATCAAAATATTATTATAAAATAGTGATAATAATAATGGCGATTATGATAAAATGATAACGATGGCAATCATAACAATGATACTAGGCTAATATTAAACACATTAGTAGTAATCAAAACCATATTGGTGATAATAAAAACGCTAGTAATACTAATGTTACTACTATTACCGCTATACATAACTAACATGAAGATGAAAATGGCAGTGGAAAGTAGTACCAATAATTAGTCGAGATACCAACTCCCTCGCAAAGGTTAGCACGGTACCATCTTACGAAGGACTTTGGTCTTGGCAAGAGGAGACGGTTGCCATAAGTGGATGCCATTCTGAGCTGCGAACCCTTTGGGCAACATTCGAAACCGTGCGCTGGGTGACCGACGCTCGTGGTCCTGTCGTGTACCTCCACTTTGCAACATACTTCAACACGGGTCTTGCAAAGTATGATTTTCGAACACAAGGGGCTGTTTTACGAGACTGGTAGCAGGGTGCGTAACACAGCACAACCCGCTTGTTACGCCTCCGAAGCTCTTTTTACTAGTATTATTGATTTATAATTTCGTTCACAATTTGAGAATTAAGTCAGTCATCATTGTAATTAACTTTGTTTTCCCCTGCTCTTTGTTCATGCTCTCAATTACATTACCTTAATTATCCTTAGATCTTACTTGGACGCGCCCGTATCCGATATTGACATATTCAGGGATTTTATTTTAAGCAAAAGTTTAAAAAAAAAAAAAAAATCAAATCCCTGTGAAAGATTTCTTCCTAACAT